TAATATTTTATCTGCACAGTCCGTGGCGACAGCACTAGCCATGATGTCGTAAATCCTAGGACTCAGACACACCTGCCTACACCGCAGTAGTGGTAAATAATGGCAGATACATACGGTTTTGTTATCATCATCATCATCAGGTGCCTTGCCGTCTGGCGTGGGCGATCATGCCTCTCCACAATCTACGATCTCCTGCAGCATGTATAAGTTCGTGTGCTGACACACCTCCATGCCATGCAACAAGACTGTCAAGCATTTTCTTTCGTTGTCTTCCTCTATCCCTCCTTCCACAGATCTTTCCATTGGTCACAACATGTTCTATTTTCCCTCTTCTCATAACATGGCCGAAAAATGATGACTGTCTCCTTCTGATGTCTGTGATTAGTTGTCTTCAGGCTCCCGCCTCTTTCAAAACCTTTTTTTGTTAACACCTGTGAAATGAGATGCCTGAGAAAAGCAAACAACTTAACCATCCGAGTCAAAGTTGGAAAAGATATGTAGGAACAAGACCAGGCAGCAAATTCATTGGACAAACAGGCGATCAAATGGTTAGGTCATTTAGTAAGAATTTAGTAACGACCACCAACGCAGGAGCTAGACATGGAAAGATCTGAAGTGAAACCAAGAGGTCGCTCTAGGAGAACATGGATTGATGACATTAAAAAGCTTGTACATCGACACTAAATGGCAGTAGCAAATGCTGGCCGTCAAGCAGTTGATCGCAAACTGCTGACTCCCCCCCCCTCTCTCTCTCTCTCTCTCTCTCTCTCTCTCTCTCTCTCTCTCTCTCTCTCTCTCTCTTTCTCGACGCTTAACGACAGAAGTAGGAATTGATGATGATGATGACAAACGGTTTAGGACAACTGATACACAGATTAAGAACATGTCAGTCCTAACAAGAAGTTGAATTAGTCAGCTTTGCAGTTCCATAATCATGAACGACTAAACGAAAGTTGCGGTAAGACTGACTGACTGACTTTCTACCCCACCAGGACATCACACAAGCGATAAACACCAGATGACACAAAGTGCCAGCATGCGGATAAGGATCGCCGTGGAGAGGTCCCAGAAACCGCGTTCAGATATTTGGCCATATGTATGGCCTGCCTATATTGCGGCCCCTGGCAAAAGCCAGAGTAGGGCTTCAAATGACAAAAAATTTCGTCCTAAAAAGGACGAAACTGGTTACTACAAACAGTATTGCATAAATTCACTGCACACAGGCCCCTGTCATACATTCGGGCCGTTCAGAAATTCGCCTTTCAGACCAGACAGGCAGCTAATATTTATCTTTTTAGTTTCATATAATTGGATCCCCAAATCTCTGATTGCCTGATCCGTCGTTCTGTACACACCCAGTTCTGCGATAGCGCCAAACTCACGCCCGTCTGTTGTTGTAAACAATATGGGTTAACTCCCTTGTCTGGTTTGTGTTTAGGTGCTAATTATCTCCCTTATTGTGATTGATCACAGACTCTCCTACTGTGTAGCAGGCAAGAGATGACAAGTGTGGTCGGTAGACTCCCAGATACTGGAAGATTTCATTACCGTGTGCTACAAGTAGATATGACAGCCAGTTTGTTTTCTCGTAGACATACGGCTCAACTGGGCAACTTGTTTTGTCCTGGTTCAGTTCTCTGACTCTCAGTTCTCTCAATCAGAACTCAGAGAAATATCAGTCGCTGAGAAATCCCGGGGGTCAAATTCTTCTTCTTCTTCACTTTGACCACTGTCGACTTCGACTAAAGATCTGGCTGTTTGTTCACTTTTGGAACTTGTTTTGCGTGCAATTCCATTTTACAGATCTGGCTTGTGTTTGTATGCAGACTGTTGGTTCCTAGCCTTTCAGGCATATGCGCTCCAGCTTCAAAGGAAAACCTCTAATTAGTCTCCTTTTATGAATTCAGGAGGCCGTGGGTCTATTCCCTTCCTCCCCTACCCCAATGCCCACCATGAACCCACAGGGGTAAGTAGCAGCATGTTTAAATCCTGTGTGCTTGTATCTGACAGTTTTCAACGATGTCTAATGTGTCCTTGGAAATGTATTTGCTGCATCCTCTCTCGCTCTGCTCTCTAGGAGCGCTACTTCAAATATAGTGATCCTCTTAATGGGCTGATAAATCTTGCTGCAGAACGCAAGCCCAACGCTCCGGCCTATTGTTAAACAAACACTAACGATTTTATCAGTTTATCGATTATATTTGCCGCACTGTGATATATATTTGCCGGCAGACATACAGTTGCTCCTTATTCAGATAGCTAAAAAACGTTACAGTAAGCCGTTAACCAACAGTGGTACAGTATACTCTTACTCAAATATATAACAGCGGTACAGTGGGCACAGTCAACAGCGACACAGCAGACCATTAAATATCGAATGGTAATACCATAAGTTATTAAATAACCAACAGTAACACTTCTTTACTCCTGGAATACCTCGCGGCGGCAGGGCGGGACACTTCCTCTGAAACGGGCCCTTTTGTTCGCTTCGTATATAGAACTTTTCAGTGTCTCCGATATTTCTACGGTCACTCTTCGTGTTTGGCCTCTGGTTCTGTTGCCGCAGCATCTTTATAACATTGCTGTCGGAGGCGCCCTGTCTGGTGTCAGTCTTGTTACCTGACTAAGCTATATGATCTGTTGTCTGCCAGCCCTGTCTGTTGTCAGTCTTGTTACCTGACTAAGCTATATGATCTGGTGTCTACCTGCCCTGTCTGTTGTCAGTCTTGTTACCTGACCAAGCTATATGATCTGTTGTCTGCCTACCCTGTCTGTTGTCAGTCTTGTTACCTGACTAAGCTATATGATCTGTTGTCTGCCTGCCCTGTCTGTTGTCAGTCTTGTTACCTGACTAAGCTAAATAATCTGTTGTCTGCCTACCCTGTCTGTTGTCAGTCTTGTTACCTGACTAAACTATATGATCTGTTGTCTACCTGCCCTGTCTGTTGTCAGTCTTGTTACCTGACCAAGCTATATGATAAGTTGTCTACCTGCCCTGTCTGTTGTCAGTCTTGTTACCTGACTAAGCTATATGATCTGTTGTCTACCCATAAAGTTCACTATTGCTTCTGTTCGGTCTCTCCTTCTAATATAATAATTCCTAAATAGATCTTTCCTTCTTACACCTAGCATGATACGTAAACATTTCATATCTGTCCTGACTATTTTTCTGCTGTTTTCTGAAGATAATACCCATGTTTGACACTGACAGCATAGTGTTGGTAAGAATACTGTGTTGAACGGTGCTGTTTTACTCTTCATATTCTCTTCACTTATCTGCGAGTGCGAAATCAACCAGTGTCAGTTTGATGGATCGGCCCTAAAATAACCAGCCGCGCTACAGCGGCTGTCATTCAGACGTGCAGCTACCCGTTGTGCCATTCCGTTTACATACATTTAGAAGATATGAAGAATACCAAGTTACTAGAGCATGGAAAAACAGAATTCCACATTAGAGCTTAAATGCCTGCGGTATTGCCAGGACGGAAGTTCGGAAATAACACGTTTCATTTTCAACAGGTTAAGAGCTTGACTGCATACCTGGCTAATATTCTGTGCTTTATTTCATATCTTTGATACATTATCATGTTTTTAGATATCTTCAAAAGTAATGATTAAAAACGAAGCCTATAATGTGTGTAGGATGAAATTATGGTAGTTATCAGGTCAGACTAAAACAACTGAATAAATTATGGAATTGTACAGATAGAATTACAAAGGTCAGATTTTTAAGAGCATGCATCTTTCCCATTGCAACATACGCCTGTGAGACCTGGACACTTACTAAACAAGCGGAACAGCGCATAAATGCATTTGAATACAAATGTTACAGACAGGTTCTAAGAATATCTTGGGTACAGAAAAGAACAAATGCATCCATACTTCAAGAGCTGAATATTGAAGAGGGTTGGCTAGTAAAGACAATAAAACAAAGAAAATTGAAATATTTTGGTCACTTGAAACGTCATGGAAGTCTAGAGAGAACAATAATGGAGGGGTACATGCCTGGGAAGAGAGGAAGGGGGAGGCCAAGGAGAAGATGGGTGCAGGATGTGGCAGATGATCTCCAGATGGGTGTATCAGACGCAGGACATCTTGCTCATGATAGGAAGGTTTTCCGGAGGGTTGTTATGGCAGCGAGGTTCCGCGAGGGACATGCTACTGAATGAATCAGGTCAGTAGAGACAGAGCAGCTTGTTGGTCTGTGTTACAAAAATATACATGCACACTCCACTGGTCTAGTTAACAGTCCATAACCTTACACCGTTTTCTGTTTCTTTCCACGTGACAGGACTGGCTTGTGAACTAGGGAGCAGACACAAGAACTCAAGACTGCGTTCTGCCGAGCTTCCACTTGACCTGTTGCCAAACCTTCTTGTGCAGACAATGAACCTGTCTGGTTGTGGAGACAGTGCACGCTGACATCCACGACTAAACAGTCCACGCCAATGGAGCAGCAGCATTCAGGATATTGCGAGAATCGAAGCATCAAGTTCGACTGCAGCCACAACTTACCTCCACTGCTGGTAGCGTTAATCAACGTCATAGGTCTCCCATGTTCTAGCATGCAGGACTCACGTCTGCTGCTTATACCACCATCTTAACCGTTCTACTACAGGGCTGACCTTTTCCACTGTTCAGTGGCAAACATCCAGTTGACGTCAGTGTGCACAACACAGCAGGGTCTGTCGACTGACGCTATAACACTAATCATTATTGCAGTTCTGAAGTTTGGAGTCTATGCGGAAAACTTTACATCTAGTCATCCACTCATAATTAGCGATTGCCTGTATACTTTCTGCCAAACCGAGTAGGTAATTAGATTGCGATAGAACCTCATTTTTATACACAACTCCTAGCCATATCTTTAGCTAAATGTTATTGAAATGGTAATTTTCCCGCCACGATGAGCCTAACAGGCAGGCAGAGCTAAAAAGCGATCAAGTATCCACGCTTTCATACACAGTCGAGAGGCGTGAAACTTTGGTAGAAACTTCACAATGTCTGCATTTAAATTAGGCACATTTAAAATTTCACAGACTGAAAACAGTAGTCGGGTAAGTCCATTGTTGAATGACGGGGGAGTATTCTGCTTCACAGATGGATTTATACAGAACCAGACAGAAGAGAAGTTTAGTAACCAGGAGCAGCTTGCTGGTGAAAACAACAGTGTGGAGTCATTTCACAGAGCCGACGTCCCACCCATCACCATCACACAGCCCGCCATGACACCGGAAGTTGATGTCGTGAAAACCAATGGCAGCAGCTCAGCATTTTCCGACACGTCCTCGGATGTTTCCGACATCACAACGTCTCTACCGAGTGCTAGCTCGGGTTCCGCCTATGTAGTTCCAGTGGTGGAAGGCATATCAGAGCAGGACATCAACCAAGTGGATTTGTTTTACAGAAGTCACAAAACGGATGTTCGTGTGTGTCGGTCCCTGGCAAACTTGTATATCTCTATCTCAAAAATCAAGGTGAAGCCAGCAGAAACTCAAATCACGCGGGGCAAAAGCAAATCTTTTAAAGACAAGAAATCTAAGACTTCTGAAGTAAAACCGCCGGAACATTTAAAACCGTCGGATTTCTCTAAAGATGAATGGGAGTTTTCGAAAACTGGAATTCCTGTTCTCGTCCTCGATTCTGGTGCTCATCTTCGAGAGAAGCGTCTAAAAATCGTGCTGGCAGAAAAAGGCACGGGCTTCAGCATGTGGCAGGATGAGTTCAACAGTTTCACGGAGTACAGCATGCCGCACACCAACTTCCACACAGTCACTATCTCCACTGACTCCACCCGTCTAGTCGGCTTTAGTTTCGATGAAGCCAACGCTGCCACGGAATTTGCAGAAGCCGTGAAAAGTCTGACATCAGACGAAAACGGTGACGCTGTCAACTCCAGTTCAAAGAAGAAGAAAAAGAAGGAGAAATTCAAGCTCAAATATAGGCCACCAAAGAAGGTGGACATTTCTCAACCGGTTTGTTTCGTACACGTGACGAAACTACAACGGCCGGACCTGATTGGAGGATTCTTCCCGCCTCCTCCAAGCGGTGCCCAGCTCAGTCGTCTGGGCATTCCTCGAGCCATGAGCGACAGTTCTGGCATCTCCGAGTGTTCGTTGCCTTCAGAACACTGACCCAACAGAGCAGCAGCTGAGTGTGGATCATTGTTTCAAACCAGAAGTTTTCAATCAGACTTGACACCTTTTTTCAAAGCAGCTAGCAGTTGTCACGCTTCTTGGATAAGCAAAAAACCGTTTTATGTCGAATCTGTGTCATAATACTACCATCGTCTTTATTGTGTAAGGCAGACAGGGGAAGTAATCTCTAAAAGATTGTCACAGGACGATTGAAGTGTGCCCGTTGTGTATAGATTGGGGCGCGTTATAACCGTTCATGGTTTCACTTCTAGTCTCCCCTTGCTGTGTCGACTTTACTATGATAGTGTACATTCAGTTTGTTGAGTTCGTAAGCGTATCCACCCGGGATTTATGAAGCTGAAATATCTACTAAAATGGAGTGTGTGTTAACTCACATGCACAAGCACTGTTTTTAATTGACAGCTACATGTAGCACGTTGAAGTCTTATGTCGATGTGTATTGTGCACGAAAGAATCTCAAATATCTTAGTCGTCACCAGAAAGTTGCTGGTTGTTTGAAACGCTATATTGTACATTTATACTAGACCACTTTCAGACAATAAGGAGAAACCGTAAAGTGAGCTCATGGCTCTTGAATGTTCAGTGTGACCTGCCTTAGTTGTTTGCTTTAGCAAGCCATTACTGGATACAGGGGTTATTCGCCTTTATGCAAAGCGACGTGTTAGTTTCATTGCCATGACCGACGCCTTAATTTTAGTATCTGGCACACCTAGGGTTTTTTTGCTTACATTATCTGGAGTACTCTACAATATAAACTCCACTCTTGTGTAGGTATAAGTGCTAATCAATGGATTACTGCAGTAATCGGGCACGGAGGTTGGTAGATAGTGAGAGGTGTGTCTGCAGACAAATAACCGCGCGTGTTGATGTCTTTTTGCAGGAATCTAAACGTGTGTGCATAGTTGTACAGTTAATGATGTGCTATTCCTTTTAAACATGGGAAAAGTTCACCAACTGAATATGCCGTACGCAGACTGACCTGTAAACACTTGCCCATTTCTTTCAGTTTGGTGGCGCATGTGTCGTGCTTACAAAACGCTAGTTGCTGAGAACCCGGATGTATCTTTGCCTGGAATTATGTCCTGTTGCTTCAGCTATGTAGCTTTTGAATAGCCGTTTTCTCTTTTCAGAACAAAAATCAACTATTTTGCATCATGATTTATGGTTCATTCAAACCTGTTTTATGTTGAAATGTCATAATATAGTCCCCAACATAAGGGGAAATAATCAACCTAACAGAGAATGCATTCTAAGATACCGCGCTGTGAGAACACAGAGATCGAGAGATTTTGGGTGGACAACAAAAACAACCCCCCCCCCCCCCTGGCTTCTCTCTCCACTGAATGGATAGTGCACCATACAGAGGATCAACTCAGTTGTTCCAGTGACTATTCCTGGCAGCCTCTGTAAAATTGCACTCACGGGTTAAACCATGAAAGGAACCCATGATCTTCCGTGTGCGAGACAATGGCTTGGCCACTCCACCACAAAGATAGCTGACGTTATCTCCCAGTCAGGTTGGTGTAGACACTGTTATTCCCTGACCACACCCATAGCCGGGGCTGTGTTGTCTCTCCAAGCCCAATCGTTAGCCACACATGCAGGCCTTCTGCTGGAACTTGCTAAATGTCAACAAGGCGTATAAGTATCCAACCAGCTCATGATTCACTGTCACCAGACCCAGAGTTTACTCAGAAAACATTTGTGAAAATATAGATCGTCATGAGTTACAGGTCTGAGCCCCAGAAGACAGATCATGAATACAGTACAACCAGAAATGATCCGCGGGCCACTCGCTAGACCTTGTCACTAGTTGAATTGTGCTCACCTAGACAAGCCCACCGCTAGTTAGCTTACTTTTGGTTAAGTTTCCTTGCCAGGTTTCAAATACTACTTTGTTGAAAGACAAAATGTCCAGGGAAAGTTCCCAGTTCAGATCTACCACTCATGAAATGTCTGTAGATGCCAACATCTCCTCCAGCAACATGCTGTGCTAGTTTTGTGTTGATTAATTTGCATCAATTCATGCTTTGATGTACATATTAGACTGTAGAGAGAACTGTGAGGCAGGGAGAGACCGGGGAATCTGAGACTTGACACTCAGAGGAAAGTCAAGATGGACATACAATCAAAATGCTACTGGCACTTGTGCCGGGGATGAAACACATGGAAATAGGCCAAGGTAGTTTGAAATAAAAAAGTCTTGGCGTTGCCAGGACCCGAACCTAAGATCTTTAAGTGAGCCAGTCAGTACACCATGGTAGCTCACACACACAATGTCAAGTTATCAAATATCACAGATGAACAGCTCTTGTATGTGAACATCTGACACTCCAAACCTCACTAACAGTGGCAGTCTCCAGACTATAAAGATCTGCACCAAGAGCTGACACAAATGTTCCCCCTGTGTTCTGCAGCCCATGTTGGGGGAAACAAGAAACAGAATACATCAGCTGTTCATCTAACAAGCATGTCATAAAAGACTAACTAGAGGCATTTCCTTCAAAGTCAGAGTCTCAGAGGCGAGGAACCAACAGTCTGCACACAGATAAGCCAGATCCATAAAATAAATGTGCAGACAAAACTCAGATTCTGGAACAGAGGTAGACAAAACTACCACAACCTATGCTGGGAGTTTACAGAACATGCTCAGAAGAGAATGCAGAACTGTTGTTATCTCAATTAATTCATGCATAACATTTATGTCCGAGAAATAATACATGTTGCTGAATTGCTCAGTTGTATATTGTGTTCATTTGCTATATGTATTGATGAATGTGGGCCTATCTGGTGTGTAGAGTAGTTAGAGCAACATTGGGGACTACAGTTAGGACACACGTGTGAACATACAAGTTAAGACACCTGGCTGGCAGGCCCACTGGCAGAGCAGGGCTAGTTACTAGCAAAGTAATCTGGCCTGACAGTCCTGGGTTTGCATCCTCATTGAGGCAAAGATGTTTTAAAATGACCTGCACTCCCAGGTCAACATGAAAGTGTTCTAGGAAATAAAAATCCGACACAATACTGACATATACTATGAGAAATATATGGCTGGCACAACATACCTAGCAAGACCCAAGGCGTTTAAATGGGACACGCCAGTTTTTTAATTATCAGTTTATGTCAGTTCTGAATACCAGCACCTGCCATCACAAAGATGCAGGTTGTCAAAGTTCTGTTCTCTCCCATTTACACAACAGATGGGACACAGCAGACAGGACAACAAATGGCTTCAAATAACACAACACATGTGTTCGTGTAATCAATCAATCAGTTTTTATGAGCCTACTAGCAATACAATTCACTATCTCAACTGGTATTCAAAGTACACTTTTCTTTCTTTCCTAGATACACCTTTTGATTGATATAGAGGCACAAATGCCAGTTATCTTCAGTTCCAAAACAAACCTCTTCATTGACACAGAGGTGAAAGATAGATATATACGTCAGGAGGACAATTCCTGCCACTAGCAAGCATTGATCTCAGATACCTCTTTCGTCAGTGACTCTCAACCTTTCTAATGCTGCGGCCCATAAATACAGTTCCCTCATGTTGTGGCGACTCCCAAACAATTATTTGCCTTCATAACTTCAATGATTATGTGTTCTATGATCTCAGGCAACCCCTGTGAAAGGATTGTGACTGGCAGGTTGAGAACCACTACTGTAGGTGAATGGGTGGACTAACTAGTATACTACCACTTCTAGGAAGTTAGCAAATATTAAGTGTGGGAAAACACGAGGATCAGCTGCCCATATGAACATAACAGTGGAATAATTAAACAAAATTAACATATGATTCTAGCATTCCCATAAACAATAGTAGTCTGTTTTATTATCTTGACTGAAACAATTTTTTTCTTCTTTGCATTCACCGGTTGTAAACTCTGGTGGAAAGTTCTGGTTGTTCGTCCACTTCTGGACTCTAGTCCTGTTCCAGAAACTGAGTGTTGTGTGTACATCCATTTGACAGGTCTGACTCATCTGTATGCAGACTATTGGTTCCTTGCCTCTCAGGCAGATGTACCTCCCAGTTAGTCGACTCTGACGACAAACTTTTGGGATGGCAGTGGGTCTGTTTTTGTTTTTACCAACAATGGGGCCCCAGAACCGACACAGGGAAGTTAATAACATTTGAATACTTCAGTTCTACACAAAGAATCTGCATTGTAAATCACCACACACAAAAAATGAACATAAATTGCTGAACAAAAAGTAATAAGTAAAATATTCCAAAATACATTTAAAAAAAAATACAAACCAGAGAAAATCAGAACAGGAAGAAATCAACAGAGAGAGAGAGAGAGAAGGAATGAAAAAATGAGCTGTTTTAAATTAAGTGCCACAAATTAGCCTGCAAATCCGTCTCACATTCAGCCATTCCAAAAACACATCTTTCACACAACAATTGTATTGTACCTATAGAGCATGTAATTTTTGTAAAGCAGGGTACGTAATATGAAAAATAAGTAAAATAACAGCATGAATGGTAAATATGTACATTAAAACACATACATACTGACAAAATCTGACTCATACATACACATATAAATGCATACATACAAACATACATGTGCTACATATATACATACACACAAATCTATAGATGCACACAAATCTATAGATGCATACATACACACAAATCTATAGATGCACACAAATCTATAGATGCATACATACACACAAATCTATAGATGCATACATACACACAAATCTATAGATGCATACATACACACAAATCTATAGATGCATACGTATGTATGAGCATGAATTAAAGACAATCAGTAAAGGAGTGACTGACAGAGAGTAGCTCCCTCCCCATGAGGCCCTGACACCCACAAGAGAAGGCTGAAATTAGATTCCAAGAAAATAATCAGCAGCAAGAGAGAAGAATAGATGCTACAGAGCCTGTAAATGTTGACAACAGAAGTCTAGTCAGTCATATCCTAGGATGTATGCAGAGGAGACAAATGAAC